GTTTTCCACATCCACTTATATTTTAATATCTTTGATTATAATCTTGTTAATTTCACTTTGTGATGTGAAACGTGGTGATTTGGACTAATGGACATTTGTTTCACGCCCTACTCTGTCATGAAAAAGGGATTCTATGTTCTAAACAAATGGATAGACTGACACTATCTTCAGCCAAACTATATCAACTCAAGCTAAAATAATTTGTGACAGGAAAAAACAAGGCAAAAAGATAGCAAATAAATAGAGGTGAGCGAAGTTTCAAAAGGTAAAGAATGAATACATTTGTCCTTATCATTAATGTCAAACTGTATCACATATTTCTAAATTACAGACTATATCATTCATATGACTTTAAACCGACACTGACAAAACCTAGACCAACAGTCTGTAATTCTATGTACTTGTAGGCACAAGATCATAAAGTCACTGACAAGTGGACTGAGTCATGTTGGTAGGTGTAGACTACCTGGTTGAGGACCGCGAGATGATAGCAACCGATGGTTAGAGACCTTGAATGACATGGCTCAAAATCGTTTGCAATGACGCAGGTGCATCCACTCTTTGTGTTCTCCCAAATTTTGATCTCCTTATTCCTCCTTGTCTCCTTTTTTTCTCTTCCCAAATTTATCTCACTGTATTATACTCTTTAAATAACATATCCAAACACTAATTTTCCCGATTACTGCTTATACTCTTATTACCTCTACCACTACGGGATTTGAGTCGACCACTGCATCTCTGTGCTAATGTGGTGTGGCAACTCGAACTAATGTACGTACGTACGAAGTTCTACGTTGTTATTGACTGGCTGTAGGCTTATATTGGTTTGACCACTCTTAACCTTGTTCCACTCTCCCCATTCTTGTTCAACTTTGTGGTCGACGTACTTTTAGAGATAACACTCTCCTCATCTAAATTTCCAGGGGTTGAACTTCAACCGGGAGGTTCACTTGTTGACTTAGAATATGCAGATGACATAGTTTTATTTGGTGAAGACGCTGACAAAATGCAGTCTTCTGACCACTCTAAGCAACAATGCAAGCATGTTCGGGATGCGATTCTCTCCCTCGAAATGCAAAATGTTGCTTCAGGATTGGGTTACATCGACACCCGAACTAGTGATAGGGAGTGAAGTAGTTGAGTGTGTCGACCGCTTCACTTATCTTGGAAGTCTCATCAGCCCTTGTGGTCTGGTGTGTGACGAAATCTCAGCACGGATACAGAAGGCTCGACTAGCTTTTGCCAACTTGCGTCATTTATGGCGTAGGCGAGATATCCGTCTATCAACCAAAGGACGTGTTTACTGCGCAGCAGTTCGTCCCGTCCTACTTTATGGCAGTGAAACATGGCCAGTAAGAGTAGAGGATATTCGTAGGTTACTAGTATTCGATCATAGGTGTCTTCGAAGCATTGCTCGTATATCATGGGACCATCGAGTAAGTAATGCAGTTGTTAGGAAACGGATACTAGGTAAGGATGGCAAATCCATTGATGACGTAGTGAAACTTCATCAGTTGAGATGACTGGGACATGTGTTACGTATGCCCAACCACCGACTGCCTCGACGTGCGATGTTTTATGGTGTAGGAGTAGGTTTGAAGAACGCTAGGAGCGGCCAGACCAAAACGTGGCATAAATCCATGAAGTCACTGACAAGTGGACTGAGTCATGTTGGTAGGTGTAGACTACCTGGTTGGGGACCACGAGATGATAGCAACCGATGGTTAGAGACCCTGAATGACATGGCTCAAAATCGTTTGCAATGGCGCAGGTGCATCCACTCTCTGCGTTCTCCCAAATTCTAATCCTCTGAATTCTTCATGTCCCTTTTTTCCTCTTTCCAAATTTATTTCACTGGATTATACTTTTTAAATAACATCTCCAAACCCTAATCTTCCCGATTACTGCTTATACTCTTATTACCTCTACCACTATGGGATTTGAATCGACAACTGCATCTCAGTGCTAATGTGGTGTGGCAACTCGAACTGATGTACGTACGTACGAAGTTCTACGTTGTTACTGACTGACTGAACCTTGTTCCGCCAGTCGGAAACCACGGTTTTGTGAGGCAGAGGTTCAGTAGTTTGGGGGTTTGGTTCTCAACTACTAAGTCCCGAGTTCGAACCCCAGTCCACCTACTTCATTAAGATTTAGCAAAACTCGGATTTGTAGGTTACAACTTTAGATGACAGTTGATTCTGCCGATACAAACTTTTTAAAACACAACGTTAAAAAAGTGTACTATATCAAAATTTGTGGAATAATGTTTGACATTATACAACCAATTTGTGTCACGACGCATGCTTTTAGAGGCGGTTAAATATTCAGAGCAATTATCCATCAGCCGCAAGTTTAGACATATACGTAACGGCATACAATTTGCACACGGGAAACAGCATATGCAACTGAAATGCCAATAAGTAAATCTTAGACCAAGTAGCAATACTGATTCTTACAAATACAATATGGATGTAAACTAAGTGAGACTCGCCAATATATATATATATATATATATATATATATATATATATATATATATATATATATATATATATATATATTACAACGTATGCCTCAAGATGGATTAGATGATAGCTTTGTTATTGAAATCGATTAAAGAGGATGAAAACAAAAATCATTTTCAGGATTATGTAAACATTCCAAAAGGGGATAGTGCCACTTACTCTTTTATTTTTACCGCTGAGAATTGGTCTTGAAGACGATTTTGAAGCACTGGCATCTGAAGCAATTTCAGGTTCTAACGTAAAGGTAGGGCAGGAGTAAGGAAGACTCCGTTCACGACTATTCTTGGAGATGTCAACGAATGCCTGTGTTTTTAAGGAGCTGTTTGGTATGGTCACAACCAAACTAGTTTGACTTTTATCTAGTCCTTGCAATTTTGGCTGACTAGCAGGTTTTGAAATACATACTGGATGACTATGGTAATTGGTGACGTTTCGGTGGGAAATTGGGGATGAAACGCGTTGTATAGTAGGAGTGTGGGATGACAAAGGAGTTAAAGCAATGTCTGATCGACAATGATCAGGCTTGCAATTTGTACTCCGAATGGAACGCAGATCTAATGTACAATCAGAAGGATGACCAAAAGAGTTGTTGCCTGTCATGTTAATATTCGGTGGACGACTAGGACATTCTTTATGTGCACTGGAATATGACAGGATGGGTGAATCGGTGTTAACACTTTCAGTAGAGGAATGGGGTAAAAATGACTGAGATATATTTGCCTGCACTGCACCTGCACAGGCAGAGCTATCTGAATTTTCCGACAGGGTTTTGTCAGGAGATTTAGTTACTAATTCTTGCCCTTCACCAGTGGGTACAAAAGAAACGACATTGACCCTTTTTCTAGAACTAACACTTGATTTAGAGAATGCTGTAGATGGAGAGCCAGATAAGGGTTTTGTGTGCAGCAGCTGATCAAACCTGATATCACGGCTACTTCTGCCAGCATACGTCTTGTAATGTACCTGTGTGTGGAACAAAAGTAGACTATCAGAATGGAATGAACAGAAAAGCAATTTAACGCAAAAATTCGTGACTATATTTAGATGGATAAACAAACCAAGCTATATTGGAACTAAAAACCTGAGGGCAAATTTGGTGCATGAGGATAACTACTCTATTATTCAGAGAACGATTAATTAAGTCTTATGTAACTAGACACACAGAAAGACCATTATATTTTTCGATCACAGAATGCGAATGCCGTAACAATAATAATGGTCCTTGAGGGATTTTATGACGAAACGTATCAACCTTCATCCACATCAGACCTCCCAATGACATACGGTGAGACAATAATATAACACTTCACCAGATGTAAATTTTCGATGTGACTGGAGAGTTGACATAACAGAGCAAGATAATGTAACCAAGCTGACTCGTTCAGATTACTCAAACTAAAGTGCTAGACGAAGACTATCAAGACCGAACGACAAAATGAATCCGATTTACAGTACCGTAATTAACGTTGTCTAGAATAAGCATCACTAAAACATGGAGAAACGTGTTGCTCTGGTTAGAAAGGAATCAGGCAACAATCACTGATTTTGGATCTACGAGGTAGTTGATAACGACCAATAAAACTATGTTGGTGGTGCACGAAGTGCAATTTCAGATTTGAATCCTTATCATGAATCAACTTTGAGGATTGGGGTTATCAATTTATAGTGATAAAAACAGACTTTGAATGAGTGAGACACCGTAAGTTTAATGATGATGTTATTTCCGAAGATGGGACAGAATCTTAATACGATAATTTAATCATGTACACAAAAGACAAATACAACGAAATCACCTACATCCATCCCGCCGTCATATAAAATATTTGTAGTGAGTGCCCCAAAACCTAGTGAAGCAAACAAACAACAAAGCGGTGTTACTGTTAAGATTGAAAACACTCGTAACAGTTTGACTCCTATATCTTATCTTAGTTTTTAAAATTTATTTTTCTCGCTGTTCTGCTCCACGCTATTTTTGTTAGCACGTTTATTGTTTCCTATTTTCGTAGTAAGTTACCAAACTCTTGAGCTCCTTAACAGGGATGAAAGTGACACCATCTTACGCAGGGCCTCTCAGGAAAAGGCTCGGTATTTTTTACTTTTGTGGGTAGTGAGTGTGATTGCCTTAGCCATTACTCCATTATCACTTGCTTTACCCATAAGTTACAGAATAAACATAAGAAGAATTATGACTTTCCATTTGTTGAGTGGTTCTCCCGCCATCCATAGTCAGGTTTCAGGGAAAAAGTGATCCACTTATTATGACACCAAAAGGCCAGAGTACCTAATGTTACAAAGTGTTTTGAAAATTCTCCCGTGTTTTATGTAGTCTTAATATTTTCCCTCGAATATTACTCCTCTTTTCCGTTCATGTCAACTCCGTCCAGGGCTCACGTAACCGAGCTGCGATAATTATCTGTCTTTGATTAAACCTTTGTTTACTGAATTTGGCTATGATTTGCCTGTACTATCTTTGTTACCGCGCTCGTTTCAAAAAGAGCAGTGATTTTGTTGTGATTATACTTGCCTTGGGTACTTATTGCACCAAAAAGCATTCTTGGTCTACTTTAACTTAAAGTACTTTGATTAAAGTTTGAAATGTTTTGCTAAATTTTGTCCTGAGTACCTGTTTTTACTCCTGACTAACACTTCAGAAGTATTAGATAGTGAAATCCAGTTGACTGGTTTCATAACCAGTAGGGCTGATAGATTAAACCGTAGGGGAAGCGGGGTTATTCTCTACACGAAAAGTACCCTAACCATAAGATTAGCTGAGACAGTAGCACATGTTTCAGGGACATTTGAACTGGTGAAATGTAAGTTGAGATGCCGACGGCAAGATATTGAATCAGTTGTAGTATATCGCAGTCCAGAATGTGTAGCAGATGATTTTATCCTAAGTAAACTTAAGTCCTGGTGTAACAACAGTAAAAGTATTGTAGTAGGCGACTTTAATGCACCACATATAAACTGGGTAAACTTAGAAGTAGGGTCATCCATATCGTCGTTCGACTGCAAACTGTTAGACACCTCGATTGGATTAGCTGTATTCCAACACATTAGAGATCCAACAAGATACGACTTAAGAAACTCTTCCTCTCTTTTAGATTTAGTCTTCACACACGGTGATGACGTCGATCAAATGGCTTTTCTCTCACCACTTGGGAGAAGTGACCATGCAGTCATCTTATTCAAAGTCATGGCTGAGATTGCCTGTCAAACAGTTGCACAGGCCCGTCCCAACATATGAAAGGCAGATATGCAGGCAACTAACTCCGCAGCAGCGGCTGAGAACTGGGAAATTGACTCAAAGGCATCAGTACAAGAGGCATGGACTCTATTCAGGCAGTTATACAATCCGGTAACTCAACCATACATACCCTGGACTGTCCCAAAGAAAAAGAAGCACGGACATCCCTGGATAGGGCGGGATATTCGACGCTTACTAAGACAAAAGAAGAAATGCTGGGATGGTGCCATCCGCCTTGGTACAGCAGGTACGATGGAACGCTACAGATCGATAAGAAACGAGTGTATAACTAAAATTCGGGAAGCTCAAAGGAAATATGAAATGCAACTGGCACAATCTGCACTCAAGCAGCCCGAGAGAATATTTTCGTACATAAACTACAGAACAAGGATGTATCATTGGATTCCCAACCTAATTAAAGTAGGAAGTGAATCTGAAATGACAGAGGAAGATCAGGAAAAAGCAGAGGCTATTGCTGAATATTTTGGGGCAGTTTTCACGCAGGAACCTCCTCTAGAGAAAGAACCAGACCCAAATACAGAGTCAACAAACCAGCTGCTCGCCGTGGACTTCGACCAAAACGATGTGCTTAAGGCTCTTAGCACCCTAAACATGAAGACGTCAACAGGACCAGATGAACTACACCCTAAAATATTGAGACATATTGCCCAATATATCGTGGCCCCACTGACTGTGATGTTCAGTATGTCACTTGACCAAGGTGTGTTACCTATGGACTGGAAGGACCCAATCATCACTCCCATACATAAAACAGGTCCACGACAAGTTCCATCGAATTACAGACCCGTAAGCCTCACCAGTGTGGTAATTAAAATACTGGAAAGAATAATCAAACGGACCATAACGGCATCTATGGAAACCAATAACTTTCTGAACATGGCACAACATGGTTTTAGAAAGGGTCTATCCTGTACAGCGAACCTCCTTATAGCACGGGAGTTCTGGATTAATGCGCTAGACAACGGAAACTCAGTGGATGTTGTCTATATAGATTTCAGTAAGGCTTTTGACGCATTTACTCTTCAGGCAGACTTAAATAATATGATAAACTGGTATAAAGAGTGGCTGATGCCTATCAACGCGGAAAAGTGTGTCTACATGCACTTGGTGGATTCAGAGGTTAATAAGTACAACATAGGGGATGTGTCATTATCCGTAGTCCGGTCTCATAAGGATCTAGGGGTGACAGTGAGTAATGATCTTAAGACGACGGCCCATTGCCAGGAGGTCGCAGTTAAGGGGTTTCGAACCCTCTGGGCTTTAAAAAGGACATTCACTAAGTTTGATACTACCATGTTCACCACATTATACACATCCTTAGTGAGAACTAAACTAGAGAACTGCGCTCAGGCTGCAAGCCCCTGTTTAAAAGGTGACTCGGAAATACTAGAAAAAGTACGGAGAGCAGTTACCTGTGCAATTCCGGAACTCCGGGGTTTATCATACAAAGAGCGGCTTGAAAAACTTGACCTCTTTACTCTGTCCTATCGCAGACTAAGGGGAGATCTAATTTTGATGTACAGAATACTGAGAAATGATTTCGGACCTAAATTATTCTCTCTCTTTCTTCCCACTAGAGCAGGACACCTTAGAGGACATAGCAGGCGAGTAGAAAAGCCAAGAACGAACAAAATACCCGTGGCATACAGGTTTTCACACCGAGTCATCAATACTTGGAACCTGCTGCCTGAAGCAGTGGTGTCCGCACCTTCAATTGACTCTTTCAAGAGAAGACTGAACACTCACAGAAGCATACTAGAAAAGGAATAAAATAGGCCATAGGCCTTCTGTCCTTACTACACAAATCTGAAATCTGAATCTGAATCTAATGTGTACTGCAAGGCAGTTGACAATATGATCTGGTTTGACCGGGCACAGAGTCGCGGCATAGAATTTGCTTGTTGATGCTCATCGGCCATCGGGAGATTCCATAAGTACAAATCGCTTTCTGATAATCCACTTACATACTTGTTAGCTCAAGTCATTCAGCTTATTCCCTTTGAATCGCACACAAGAAAATCTTGATCTATATCTGATATTGCTTGGAATTATTGCTTCCACATTATCACAATCATTAATACATATTTGGACCTATAACACCCACCCATTCGACAATAACAAGTAACTCATATTTCGCATACATTTATTTTTGTGTTTAATAAGCCGATCCCCTTTATAAGTCTTAAAAAATGGACTGATTAATGATATTCTCATATTTTCATTGGTCCTCCACATTTTTTTTAACAAAGTACAGAGTAATTTATGCATAAAAAACCTCTTGCCCAATACAAAAGAACCCTAGTCAGGTATAACTGGATAAATCTTGGTTTAGTATGATCATTTATTGAGTTCATACAAAATATTCCAAGTCAATAATCTCCATCGACACCATAAAATACGAGTGGTGATTCTAACTCCTTACACAGCAACAAACCTGAACAAAGACAAAATAGTGAAAAAATGTCTTCCACAGCAGAAAGCCTCAACATCTATATAATAAACAGCAAGTCCCATGAATAAGAAACAATAAACGGCGAACAAATCACACTTGGTGGAGAAGCTCTGGAAGAGGTGTAAGACATTGTAGTTGTGTGACAACTGGAGTTGATTGGTGCAGAGTTGACCGCGAACACCTTAGTAGCACCAAAAATTATGACACAAGTATTTATTAACTTTCATATTTTATACAGGCATCATATTTCTTATTATTTTGTGTTGAATTTTGAAAACTTGGTTCTTTTAAAAAGACAACCTCACGCTTCAAAAGCTCTGTTCCACGATCTGAATAAAGACCTAATCACTACTAAGATGGTTTCTTCTGCCCCTAAAACGAGAGGTATCAAACAGCACGAACATGTTGAACCCTATTTTAAACACAAAAACTGACTTCTGCATCGCTTATTATCTTTTTCGCTTATCATAAATTTTGTACACATATATTTATGTACATTGCTTTTTATCACAAAGTATTCATGCTGTAATCTTTATTTTGTCCCGTTCGTATTATTTGACTATACTGGTCACATACCACATGTTATAACATGTGGATTAAGTCTATAGACTTAATCCAAACCAAAAGTCAGAAGCCTAAATGTAACTTGTCACCGGTTGAGAAAGATACTGTTATGACTACGAAAGTCTGACTGTCGGGACTCGCTTGCAGTGACCCTAAGTTTAGTTCTGCTCAATTACAGTATTATATCCCGCGGCGCGGTATTGGACCTGATGGAATTGAATACCGAGATTAATACCCTATACGCTCTCCTTCAGTCGCCAAATAAGTTCGCAACTTGATTTTGATTATCCCAGCATTATAACCATACACCATTTTAAAGTGAGTGATAATGGACTGTCTATCTTTATCAGACTACCAACGAATCCTTAGGCTTTTCCAAGGAGAAACATTAGGTGATAGATCCCCATCACAGTTATCATGTCACCTCTAATCTTAGTAGGTGACAAAACAGTGGGTGAAGCAGTCCTAAAATAAGGATGAATACAGGCTCACTCAAGCCACGTCCAACACTGTTTGGATGCTCAAGACTCAGACACATATTTATCTCACTTGGCGCGTATTGCAGACAGATTAATTTGAAGCGGTCCCTCAACCGTGTCACGTGTGACACATCATACACAAAAAGAAGAACCACCAAAAGACCCAGTCAAAGCAGAACTGATTGCGACTGTTAAAAGTCTCACAGGAGCTGTCGCCAAAGAGGAGCAGGTCACCACAACGACCAAGATCCAAGTCACAGGGTAGGTCGCAAACATACGGACTATCTGGACAGTTTTGTTGGTATCACCGGAGGCTTGGTGTCAAATCAACCAGGTGCTGTCAACCATGTGAATGGCCTAAAGAGGCTTCTAAGAAGATGGCAGATGAATAACCTTCAGCAGGTCGCAATGACCAAGGAGGTGTGCCTCAGCAGCCACTTGTTTCATGCTGGAGACAGAAATTCAGACTTCACCATTTTGGTGGCGTTCTACTTAGTATGATTCTCAGAAAAAAACTGGGCTGGATCGAAAAAATTCCCAGTGATACATAAAGCTGACAAAAATGCTAAAATTGCGACGTTTGTGCAGAAAAATTTGACGCTCGACGTGTGGTTTGAGAGGCACTTTTCCTCAGTGTTTATCGTAGCCGAGTTAGATCTGGCAATGATGGGAATGGACGTTTTAGTGAGAAATGAATTTATAGTCGATACTGAAAGGAATTTCTAGTTACACAAAAGACAAATATAGTTACACTACTTTTCTAAATTTGGTACGAACTTTGCCGCTAACAATTGCAGAACTCCAGGATATAATCTAAGCATTTCCAAACTTTACCAAACCCAGCCGCCAATCTTCCAGAGGTAAGCTGAACGTTAGTTATACTGTGGTGGTATTGACTTCTAACTACACAAGTTTTGAAGCTGTGCGTATACATACTGACGAGATTTATATTCAGCATGTATCATCAGAAGATCAACAATGGTGATCGTGTAAACAATTGATCGAAGTGTCATGGCTCGATCATGCAGGCGTGGTCATTCTGTTTGACCTCTTACCCCTTTTGGATATATTACTCTCTTTCTAGATCAAATGTGTTAATCGAAGGTGCTATACGTCATCTTGCTGACTGTCACGTAGGACGAGTCAGTGTAGAGACTGATGTGACTTTTGAGTAAAATCTTATAGATTAGGTAGTCACGTTATGACGAATCTACAATTTTAGGATTAGGTCTATTATTGTAGTATTGGCGACATCGAATAAAGAAATGATGACTGTTATTGATTCTCATGCTCAATTTAACTTTGTCGATTGATTTTTACTGATGTTAACCCATGTTTCTATTAATCCATTGTCTAATGCACACGTTTATTATCGTATTGCAATAGTGATAAGTACTCACAGCTTACCAGCTCGACCGATACTAATAACTGATTTTTTCTGTTTGCGATTAGCCATGATGGCTCATCAAAAAGCTTTAGCAGTATTGATGATTTCCGAATAGCCTAATTTATAAGGCATCTACCGTAGGATCCAGGACGTTTAGCATCGATAAAGATTATGTAAAGATGATAAAATACTCAGCTACGTACTCATTTTTTATACATCAGGACGCAATGGTTCACTGATAATGATAGAAATATAAATCCACGAGTGTAAAATAAGCGAAATATACAGAATATCTGATTCGCATGTCTTTTGACTCATATGATTAACAATTTGTACAAAATTCTTGTACGACCGAACCATAAGACGTCAAGTAACTAAAGCGCTAAGAAATATAAAAAAACATATACTCGTTAAAAAGGGGGTGTTCCATCGACTGAGAAAATATTTCACTTTATGAGCGATATTCCAACCTACTAAATGTGAGCAGTTAAACTGGGGTATAAATATGACAAGTTGTAAAATAAAAGGCTAGTTGAAGCAGGAATTTATGAAGTCGAAAAAATACCATAGAATAAAACCGATGAAATCAGAAAGCATATTTGAGGGAAGGTACGGGTAACAATCTTAAATTAAAACAATCAGTATCATGCACAAAAGGGTACTGATTGAAAGGAACATTATTATTTAAAAATGAAGTAATGAGCTACCAAAATACAGAATACACAAGGGGGAGTTTTGTCACTCACTGTCAAACATATCCGAACGTAAAAGGTCCGGTATCCAAAGTAAGTAGACTGTAACGTTATTGTTCGGTGACGAGATACTTATCTCATTGAAATTCTTCTGTTATCTTGGCGGTTGAACTGGCAATGATAGTGGAATGACTTTGAGCCACAGTCAAACGATCCTTCAAGCTGGGCATGCTATATTTTTATGTTTCAACACTAGGTTTTGAATGGTTGATACAAAAGGTGAGAAATAATGAAGGAGGATTTTGGAAATTTATTGAGGCTGAATGGTCCAACCGAGCAGAGGTGGTATTTTTTTATGTATTTCTTTCGTAGTTTTATGAAATTTACGATTCCATTGGTAATACTGTACCCATTTTTGAGTAGTTTTCAAGAAACAGTTAAATCTTACTATCATATAGGGCAGGTAATGATGTGAGTTTGAAGTGAGATCATATAAACTGGACAGTCATTGTTGTCAGTCAACCTTGTTACGTTGGGACTTTCAGTCTAGGAATATGAATAAGCTTATCAGTACCTGCTGTTGAACTTTCGTAAACGTTACTAATTAGTGAGTATATCTGCATAAGCACTCACATACTACGAAAGCCTGTTCCAAAAATCACACCAAGAAATTTTTATGATACCAGTGTTATGGCTATAGAGCTGGAATATCTCGCCCAGTACAACTGTCGATTTTCCTTTTATCATCGTAGAATAGAGAACTCGTGACGGGCAACAAGTAAAATTCCTTTAATAGGCCTGAATGTATCAGTCTTTTGCGATGTTTCTAGTCATTGTGAATCTTACGTTATTGTTGCCAGCCTATCGCATGACCGGCTCTATATCAAATCTTTTTTTTCTTGGTATGGAAAGATAGCATCTTATCCTTTACCGTTGGTTATATAAATAGGTCAATCCTTTTACTCAAAAAATTCTGATTGTTTTTGGATTCAAACACCGTGCATGGATAATATCCGTTACATATTGTAATGCGTCACGTGGACTGTATGTAGATGAATCACGGGTTGAAAAAGGTCATAGAGTGGTTTGTAAGCGATTTGGGGTATTTCAGATAGTTTAAGAAGCTTTTATGCTAAATTTATCCAATATAAAATTTAAGCAACGCTTATGTGAGACGAATTGATCTATAGAGTCTATGTTTTAGCCATATGGCGTGGATTATTTATAAATATGCATGTAAGTTTATACGCTTCCGGTTTGATCAAAAATTCACAAAGTTCTACGAATCTGTTTCAAAATTTGCGCTTATCTGGTGATCTGTTGCAAATTTAGTACAAATGTTTCACCGACAAAAAGTTGTAATTATATAAAAGTTTATATCAGTAGGCAGTAGTTATAAATGTGCCGATCTTAGATAGTAAGGTGTGTTAATTGTTCGATTCATCAATCTAAACGACAGTGTCTACCATGATTTCACATTCACCAAGTGAAACTTCAATTTTTTTTGCGAAGACTAGGTTGTGTAACATTGTAATGTGAATTTTGTTGTAATGTTTTGCGACGTATTCCATTATCTCATTTGGTGGTGATCTTTTGGTGATATTGATTATTAACCATACGATTCTCAAAGCTGAATATATAATTACTTAGAAGATTCGCATTCAACATGTGACACTTGGAGGAAGTTGGCGATGCTGAACGCGAGAACGGTTGGTCAGTTCGGTATTGCTCAGTCTTGCAGGAATGGTCATCTATGTAACAAATCCCTATTTACACTAAAATATATTGTTCTATTCTCCGCCTAAATGTGTTCTTCAGAAGTGCTAAACATCGTTTTACTAAACAATACGATAGAACGGGTCAGAATAAATAACGATTTGACTTACACGTGAGATCTTATAGGTCACGTAGTCACGTTATAATGAATCTACAATTTGGGGATTAGATCTATTATGATAGTGACAAAGATCGATGTACTAATATCGTACTAAACCATAATTCTACAACATAACTGCAATCACTGGTTTAGCAACTTAAAACTACTTTTCGCTGAGTTGTCGGAGGATGCATTGCTCGTCATAAATGTTTTGTTGCATGAATAATTATGATCTGAGTTACATTTTCCAATTATGAGTTTACTCTGTTGTATCCGATTTTAATAATATATGCATGGTCTGTACCTTCCATTGCACAAGGTTTCCATATAGATAACGAAAATCAATTCATAATGTTAGTGACTATTACCTATAGGTTTATTCTCGTATTCGAATAAGCATACATAAACTGAGGGTTTGCAAAATAACTGGTATTTGCCTCTGCCCATGTTGCAGTTTTTTAACATACAGCCATCTCTGTAAGGCAACGCCGATGAACCAATTTGTTGTAAACGACGGTGATTCCTCAACTTTATT